GGGGGGGAGGGTGATAGAGCAGGCTGTGTTTGGCTGCAAGCTGCAAGCAAAAGGGTGAATCCACCCAAACCACCACAACAAGTTACAAAGTCAGTTTATCTAGCAAATAAGCTAACTCTTCTCAGTAAAATCAAAGGTATTCCTATATCATCTTCATAGAATTCCTTTCCAAACAGACATGAGTCTGTATCTGCAAAAGAAAGAAAGTCAAAACATGGGATTTAGCCACAGTGAGAACCTGAATGGAACTGGTAACTCTTCCTTCACACTACAGCCATCAACTTTGCTTTAAAGCCATTTTAAGTTTGATTTACTTGCCCAAAATAGCCTTCATACTGGCACCACTTAGCAGCTAAAAATAAAGATGACACATAAAGATGTTTCAAGTACTCCATTCAATGGGTTTCTGATACATCTGTATGTCAAATATCATTTACCTTTGTTTTCCCTAAGGATGAATGAAAAACACTGAGGGTTTTTCCTTTCTCTTCCTAGCATTCATTTCTTAATTACATTTAAAAAGACACAAGCTATGCTACAAAAGGTATGGCACAACAGCGAACGTAAGCCAGCTCTCAACTTATTTCTCATAAGTACCAATGCAAGGTTGTTAACAAGTTTAAACCTGTTATCTGAGCCATACACTTCCTTTTACTGAAAGGCGGGCTTCAACTTGATGTATTGTTCTTGTACTTGAAGGAAATAAACTCATGAGAACATCCTAAACACACCTGTTCAAGAATTATCTGCTCTTCAGAACGAAGCATCAATATAAATGATATACAAAACTATGGTAAGGTATTTAACAATATATAATCCTTATAATCGATATTTTAATACATAAATATGGTATCTAAATTAAAAAAATATAGAGACAGACAGTACAGACAGATGCAAATAAAAACTACTACTACAAACTGCTAATATAAACTGCTCATACAGTAATAAACTAAAATATAACTCCACGTAAGTCCCAGACCTCTGCTGATGATGGAGATAAGCCAAACTTTGATTACTTGGTTTAAAAAATGCCCCGTGAAATGTCCTTTCGTCAACATACCACCAGTTTCTTCCCTTTCTTGGGGCTGAAGATGACGAAGTCCGCCTCGATGTTCAGATGGATGAATCCTTGGTCGTCGTAAATGTCCCCGAGCTCACCCACCACTTTGATGTTGTCGTAAGCCACCGGCACACCCTGAAGGCTGGAAGGAGAAGGGGGGGCACCGTTAACTGTTAGGCCGGAGCCGCTCCCGTCGGCCGCGGCGGGCACAGGCGACAGTGCAGGGCCTCCGGGAAGGCTGAGAC